GATCCTCGGTTATTATGTACATCRCCCAACTGGGCATGTAACACATGACCCCAGGGCGTGGGCCCGGGCAACCCCAGCGAAAAAAAAACTCCAAAAAAGTCTGAAAAAAAAAATGTTGTGTAGAATTGCAATACAAACAACTTTTGGCTGAGGGTCACATCAGAATTCCTCATGGAACTGAAGATAAAAAAGAAAATAACCAAATCACAGTAAGGCACCCCCTTTTAAACCCCATTAGCGCCTTCAAAATTCATTTATACTCCCCTTCCCCCCCTTTTACAGCCAACACTCAAAAAAAGAAAAGAGCCCGGATTTGGGCTCCTCTCGGGGAGCACCGAAAACCCCACTGCCGTTTTTTTCTTTTTTCAATATTTTTCCCCATGCCCGGGTATCCCGGGCATCACGCCTGGACTGGCCGGTCATGAAAATCTTCCCAGGAAATTAGTGCAAATACTTTTTTATTGCCTTCTCTACTTCCTCTTATGCTGGGCATCTTCTCTATGTCCTGTCATGACAGAATCTCCCACCACTTTCTCAGGATCTTGTTTTCGCCCTCTCTTCGTAACATGATCATCTCGCCGACGCAAGCTGAGCTGCGCAAGCCCTTCTTGTTCGTTCCATAACAGCAGTGCGCGCAGGCTATTCCTTCATGCCGTCTGACTTTCTGTCTTCGGGTATCTTCTCATCCCTGTATTTGAATTATCTCCATGCTAGCAGCAGACATAAGGAGAGCAGGTTTTAGGTAAGGCAATCATACAGAGAGCAAGAAGTGTGCAAGCTAGCCCTTTTGTTACTGATTGCCTTTCCTACCAGTAAACATGTCATTATATAGCATATGGTATCCCGAGTTCTGACGGCCTGGATGCACCCAGCTCTTCTGCTCTGTTCTGGCTAATTATGTAGATATATGTGGTCTTCTGTGACTAGGATGGGGTTCATTCAGGTGGCTGTGTTGAGTTTTTGTCATCGATATCATTTCAAATTTGGAGGGAAGGTTTTGTTTCATAGGTGGTCAGCGCAGTGGTTGAATTTGGCCACACGGCTCCAATTTTGCGGCTGAATTGAGTGTAGAGCGTCCTATATGGATTTTCCTCACAGATGATTCATGATGGCTGATGTTGGTGCGCCTTCAGGTTATCAGTCTGTGCAACTGTAGGTGGTGCCCACCTGCAGCTGGGTTTGGTGGCAGTCGTTGAGGCCTCAGGCTGTTGCGCAGGTGGTGATTCTCACCAGGCTGTCGAGGTTCAACCTCCTGACGAGTCGGTGCAAATCCGACGAAACAGTCTGTTACGGGTATGTGCTTTGTGTTGTGCCTATGTGTGATTGAGAACCCCTGTGAGGGGGCTCTCCAGATTGTTGGGGTTCAGCAAATCTTTTCTGAGTTTAGATGGGAGTGGTTGATAAATTTTGTGAGGAGCTGCTGCAGGCTGTCCAGGTTTAACTTTCATGTGAGTACTGCAAATTCTGCTTGAAGATCCTTTGTGATGAGGATCAGACTTCTCAATCAAATAGTGGAAGTCAAACAATCAGAATCTGTGTGTGTGTGTGTGTGTGTGTGTGTG